CCCTTCACCCCAAATAAAGTCAGGGCCTGGGTGACCAAATCCTGACGGACACCCCCAGCAGAAGCTCTGGGGTTCGGGAGGTGGGACAAGGAGAAGCCCAGACAGGAGCCCTCTGACCTGTGACCATGATCACCAGGGGGTTGCTGGGAGGCGACCACCCTTTGGGGGATTGTGGGTGTGAACCCGGACATCTGTAGGTCCCTGCATGTGTGGGATCAAAGTGCCCATGAGGAAGCTGTTCCAGAATATTCTGTTGTAGGGCTCAGGAACAGGCACCCCATCTTCCTTGTACAGACTGACGTTGTTAAACCCAAGATAAGAGTGACACCAAAGAGTCACGTCCTGGAGACATCACAGGGCTGGTCCAGGCCAACAGCAAGGGCTTGTCCTGACCACCTTGGGGAGAAGGAGGTGCCACCTTAGAGAGGAGGAGCCGCCCCACCCTCCGTGTGCTCAGAAGATTCTCCTCGCTTTCCACGTTTCTATGGCTCCTACCTCACCTGGGTGCCCAGGGCTAAAGGAAGGACCCATCCCGCAAAGACATGGCATCTCCCTGCAACAAACTGTTAGCTGAGAACTTTGAGCAAGTGCTGAGTAAGCGACTCTTAGATTTTAATACTGCAAGATCACTCACATAAAACAACACAAGGCAGACACGGGGTGGAGGGCATGTCCTTTGTGAATGGAATATCAGCCGATTCCTGAACGAAAATAAACAGCTGAGCCCCCATCAGCAGATTTGGAATGTCAGGGCCATGGCTGTGGTTTCCCCACCTCTTCTGGTAGAATGGCAGCAGCCACACTGCAGGCCCTACCGTCATGGAAACACTCAAGTGTGTGAGTAACACCTATGTCCTCAGAGGTCCTGCTGTTCCTAGCACTTCCCCCCTCCACACCCCAGCTTTGAGCACCCCAGTCTCACCCTGGTCCCCACAGAACTTGACTCTGCCAAGGGAAAGAAAGGCTGGGGAGGGCGAGGTCAGAACTGTGGGCTGAGTATCCGAGCGTCCCCTCTTCCTAATTGATGAGAGACTCCTGGACAGGACTTCCCTCCTGTTTCAGGAAAATCTTCTTACATGGAGAGAGGACACCCTAACGTTTGGGTAAGGACTCACCCTCATGTGGACAGGCCCTCTGCAGCAAGAAGAACCCTGGAAAGAAAGATCATGATGGACGATCCATCTGCAGGAAAACTAGGCCTCCCTTGCTGCCCCCACTGGGCTGTGAGTCTTGGCAGCCAGGCTTTTCCTGGGCTGAAGGTAAACTCACACTCACTGCCTACCTGTCCCCAAGAACAGGGCTCTCAGCTGTGCAGAGACCCAGCCTCCAGGCCCATATCTCCACTCCAGGCCTATATCTCCACTCCAGGCCCATACCTCCACCTCTAGACCCATACCTCCACCTCTAGGCCCATATCTCCACCTCTAGACCCATATCTCCACCTCTAGGCCCTTATCTCCACGTCTAGGCCCATATCTCCACTTCAGGCCCATATCTCCACCTCTAGACCCATATCTCCACTCCAGGCCCAGATCTCCACTCCAGGCCCATATCTCCACTCTCCAGGCCCATACCTCCTGCCTCTAGACCCATATCTCCACCTCTGGGCCCTTATCTCCCACACTCTAGGCCCATATCTCAACTCCGGGCCCATATCTCCCTCCAGGCCCATATCTCCCTCCCAGGCCCATATCTCCCTCCCAGGCCCAGATCTCCCTCCCGGGCCGAGATCTCACTCCAGGCCCATATCTCCCACTCCAGGCCCATTACCTCCCACCTCCTAGACCCATATCTCCACCTCTGAGCCCATATCTCAACTCCGGGCCCATATCTCCCTCCCGAGGCCCAGATCTCCACTCCCAGGCCCAGATCTCCCTCCAGGCCCATATCTCCACTCCAGCCCATATCTCCACCCCTCTGAGCCCATATCTCACCTCTAGACCCATATCTCCACCTCCTAGGCCCATATCTCCACCTCTAGGCCCTTATCTCAACTCCGGGCCCAGATCTCCACTCAAGCGCTCCCTCTGCTTAATTCCAGGACTCACCAACACACGCCACGCTGATGACCATGGCGCATGGTGCTGCAGTGCAGACAGGCGTGCGCGCCCAGCTCAGCTCCCAGCAGCGCACAGGATGTTATCTGGCGCCTGCCCAGTGCAGTTGTGATGCTGACCACATCATGGGAGGTGACGTACACAGGCTCTTCCTACCTTGCATGACCTTGGCGAACCTCCAGCCAAGAGCAGAAAATGGCTTCCTGGAAATTGTTGTGACTACAATTGCCACCTTGCTTCATTCACTATGACCAGCTCAAAGCACGTCTCAGATCAATCTTTCCAACACAAGATGATGGAATTCCTGAGTTTACATTAAAGACTTTTGATGTATTTTTGTTGTTTTTATCTGAGATTCAAACTCTTCTTCATGTGTAATGTGCAAAATATCTAACAGATACTATTAACATTATCAGGTAATTGCGACAAAAGTCAGTCTAATCTTCCTTCTTGAATTTCTAGTACTAAACCAGAAAGAGTGAAAATGATTTAAATTCCCAGTGAAGGATTATGCAGTTATTTATGCTCTTAGAATCCTACTTTATTAGCAAAAAACACAACATGTAAATTCTGGATTTTGTCGTTTTATCTAGAATTTGCCTCATGACCCAAGATTCCAGATTCCAGACTCATGGTTTGCTCTCTCTCTGTCTCTCTCCCTCCCTGGTTCGCTCTCTCTCTGTCTCTCTCCCTCCTGGTTACTCTCTCTCTGTCTCTCTCCCTCTCTCATTTTAAATTTTACAGGAATATCCAGTAACAATACGATAGAAAATCAAGTTTCCCCCAGCACTTTGGGAGGCTGAGGTGGGTGGATCACTTGAGGTCGTCAGTTCAAGACCAGCCTGGCCAACATGGTGCAACCCTGTCTCTGCTAAAAATACAAAGTTAGTGGGGCTCAGTGGCGGGCATCTGTGGCCTCCCAGCTACTCAAGGGCCTAGGCACCGAGAATTGCTTGAACCTGGGATGCGGAGGTTGCAGTGAGCTGAGCTTGTGCCACTGAAATCAGCTTGGGTGACAGAGGAAGAGTCTGTCTCAGGAAAAAAAAAAAAAAAAAAAAAAAAAAACAAACTAAGTAACCTATAATAACAAATCAGAGGGCTTAGGTTACCAAATTTTAAGGAGTTGTATAAGGTTACATAAAGTGTAGCATCCTCATCAGAGGGGATACAGAGAACCACTGGGCAGAAAAGAGTGTCTAAAATACACCCGTGGATACACAGTCCTTTACAGTTGACACAGGCTGCCATGTGGTTTTGGGTGGAATAAAATTCTCAACGAATAACACAGGGCCACAGGCTTACATCTAAATTATCCTCACACTATAAAAACACTTCTCATTTTTTATTTATTTGTAAATTGTTTATACTTTATTTTAAAATTGACAAATAAATTATATACAGTCGTCCTTCACTATTCCTGGGTGATTGGTTCCAGGATCCCCATTCAGAGGCAAAATCTGCAGATCCTCAAGCCTCTTGCATGAAATAGCACAGTGGCTGGGCGCAGTGGCTCATGCCTGTAATCCCAGCACTCTGTGAGGCTGAGTTGGGTGGATCACGAGGTCAGGAGTTCGAGACCAGCTTGTCCAACATACGGAAACCACGTCTCTACTAAAAATACAAAAAAGATTATCTGTGCATGGTGGCACATGCCTGTAATCCTAGCTACTGGGAGGCTGAGGCAAAGAATCGCGAACCTGGGAGGCGGAGGTTGCAGTGAGCTGAGATTGCGCCACTGCACTCCAGCCTGGGTGACAGAGTGAGATTCTGTCTTTAAAAAAAAAAAAAAAAAAAAAAGGGCATCTAATTGCATATAACCCATACATCCTCCCTGTGCCATAGAAATCATCTCTGGATTACTTATAATTCCTGACACAGCCTACACCCCACTCCATTTGTGTCCATTCAACATGGTTTTTTTGGTTTTTTGAACTTCGGGGATTTTTTTCTCAAAATGTTTTTGATTTATAGTTGGTTCAATAAACACCTGTAAACCCCACAGGTCTGGAGAAGCGACTGTGTATTTATAGTATGAAGATGATGTGTGGACATGTGTCCCTGTGGAGATGAGACTAACAAGGCCTATGACTCTACAAATGTGTCATCTTGAAGTGGCTCTGCCAGCGCTTTCCAGGTCTGCAGAGAGTAAGAATATCACTTGTTCCTCTGATTCACGATCCTTGCAACCTCCTATGAGCTGCATCTGTGGATGGAGGTGGAGTCCCAGAGACAAATCAGGCTCCACCTGCTTCAGAGAGCGCTCAGAGTCTGGGGGTGAGAATCAGTGGAGAACATATGGGGTTACATGGACATAGTAATGATAACACCGGAAACTTTCAACAAGAAAAGTCACATTACTGAAACCATGAGGATAGACATGGTCCCAGAGACAAATCAGGCTCCACCTGCTTCCAGAAGCTCAGAGTCTAGGGGTGAGAACCCAGTGGAGAGCAGATGGGGTTATACGGACATAGTAATGATAACACCTGTTTCTTTCAGCCAAAAAAGAGTCACATTACCTAAAGCCTGAGGGCAGACATGTTTATTTGAAGAAGAGAAAACTCCATTGAAATTATTTTTAAAAATTTATAAGTTTCACTGTTGACAGAAGGCTGAAAGATAGTCTGGGGGGAGGTGGAACAGCATGAGGGAAGGTGGAACAGCACATGTCAAGTGCTGTGTTAAGAGGGAGCCTCTCGTATGTTTGGAACTGTGAGTTCCTCAGTGTGACTGCAGCCTCCAGTAGGACTAGGAAGTAAGCCAGTAAGTTGGAGAGGTGGGCAGGGGTCCAGTGAAGTGGAGAATTGTGGGCTCAGCAAAGGAGTGGGTTTTCCCTGCAGCAGGCAGTGGGGACGTTAGACATTTGTAAGCAAGAGAGAGGCACGTTCAGATTCGTGGTGTGAGGAAGAGCGATGCCCTAAGATGCAGACTCACACCTTCAGATTCCGGCTGCTGGTACATTAGAGCTGGTAATCTGATTTTGAGACAGGGCTGTTGTCTCCCTAGAAGACCCCCTCCAGGCCCGTCTGTGGTGCTCGTGGGCAGGAGACAATGATCTGGGCTCAGCATTTGGAAGCTCTATGTACACGCTGGTATCTGTTGGGGGTGTCTTGGGCCTCTGAGAAGGGCGAGCGATTTTTCTCTGTGTGAAAACGCGGTGATCCAACTGTGCATATGTCACCTCCTGAGGGTCTTGTTCATCAGAGTCCTGGAGAGAGGGAAATGTTAGTGAGGGAGGGGGTTCCTATTTTTCAGGCCTCTTAGGGAATAAGACTATCCACGAGACTGGGGCGAGGAGGACCTACCTCCCTGTTCACTGTTCTGTCCCCTGCAGGCTCTTGGTCCATTACAGCAGCATCTGTAGGAGACAAAAGTCATCAAAACAGCTGGGAAGGCACTTCTGGGTCCTCATTTCATAAGCAGATACCAAGATACAGGGGAGGCCATAGGTGCCTGAGGTCCCTCAGTTGCCAACAGCCAGACTCAGACATTCTATCTCTCTGAGCTCAAGGACTCATCCGATGAATAGCTCTGAGTTCCCATCCCATTGATTCTGTCTCCCACTTTCTGCCTGTCATGGAACCTTCTCCTGGATGTCAGTGGCTGCAGGGACATGAGGATACAGTTGAGAATCAGGCAATGGTCTGTGAGCTGAAGGCAGGGACAGGGTGTCTGGTGCTCTCTCTAGAAAGCCCTGCCTCTGTGGCTCCTGCCTTGGGCCAGAGACCATCCTGCCGGTGAGGAACACACACCTGCGTGCTCCCATCCCGCTTCCCCACAGGGCCCTGAGGTCTCTGGCCTCTGCTTCGTGAGACTTACTCTTTTTTTTGGAGCACCAGCGATGAAGGAGAAAGAAGAGGAGGATGGTGAAGGGGATGATGACCACTGAGGACACAATCAGAACATGCGAGTGTCTGGGGTTACCTGGGGGAAGACGAGACACCAATAAGAAGCTAATCACAGCAGTTCCTCCTTATGGATTGTCTCGAATTTCTTGATTGACAGGTAGCCATATACAACGTCTCTTTAGGACAAACAGCCAGATGGCGGGAGACCCAGCTTTCTCCTCCTCTCTCAGTTATAGCTCTCATAGTAACCATAGAACGTGCTGAGGATACCACTGCTTTAGTTTAGATGTTTGACCCCTTGAAACCTCACATTGAAATTTAACCCCCAGTGTGGGAGGTTGGGCCTCTTGGGAGGTGTTGGGGTCATGGAGGTGGATCCATCGTGAATAGATCAATGCTGTCCCAAGGAGACAGGGTTAGCAAGTTCTCCCTCTATCAGTTCCTGGAGAGCTGGTTGTTAAAAAGAGCTTGGAAGCTCCATTGCTCCCCCTCCCCCTTGCTCCCTCTCTTGCCGTGTGATCTCTGTGGTCTCTGCACACACAGACCCCCCTTCCTTTCTGCCAGAATGGGAGCAGCCTGAGGCCATCACAAGAAATAGATGCTGGTTCCGTGCTTCCAGTACAGCCTGCAGAACTGTGAGGCAAACAAATCTCGTTTCTTTAGAAGTTACCCAGGCTCAAGTGTTCTTTTATAGCCTCAAAAAGGGACTAAGACGGCAACATCCTGAGATCAGGAGGAACGTCCCAGAACAGCCTGGGCTGTCTTCCTATTCTTCCTAGAGGAGGACGTCATGCAGTGCTTTAGCTCAGTGTTTCCTGTGGCTCCAGGGTACAAAACCCAGGCCGGGCTGTTTTGTGGGTTCCCCCAGCTGCACTGCAAATGGGGTGACTCCATATGTCCCAAGCAGCTTTTCTGAGCCTTGGGGGACTGGCTCACATAGAAATATAGGCTTCTGTTGTCACTTGCTGGTTATCTGTTAGTAATGAACCTGCCTATGTCATGTATTCTCTGTGTGTTCTGTCTCCCTGAAATGATGGTGAGTGACAGAAACTGGCATAGCCCCAGGTGCAGTACAGGAGGTGTTTAGAGTCTTCTCTGGGAAGACTGGACTGGGATTGATGCACAGTGAATGTGCTTTACAATTTCTACAGCCACAACCCTCTTGACTCAAAAGAATTACATTCTCCAAGAAAAGAAATAAAGAGTGAAATCAAGATCAAAAAAGGTGAAGTAAACCTGACTTAAATCAAACAACCATGAAATAATGATGCAGCCCAGGAGCAACGTGCTACTTTTTGTGATCTCCCGAGACACATATTAAGCTGTTGTTCTACCTAAGAGTCCGGGGGAAGCACAACCACCTCCATCATCTATTGTTTCAATACACCCTGTTCTTCTGTGAGTTAGTACGAAATGTGATCAGGAGATAGTGCTAGCACTGGTCTCTGAGTCCAAGATCTGAGCTCACTCCAAAGAGTATTGGTTTTTATCTCCCCATGATCTATCTGTATCTCCACAGGTGATTGGAAGTAGGAGTGAGGTGGGGGATTTGGGTGACAGGGCAAGTTTTATACCATGAACAGAGCACATTCTCTATTCCAGAGCCTGCGTTGGTGGGTTCAAGGGGCTTCCACATTTTCCGTATGATCTCAAGCTCACAGAAAGCCAAATAAGAAAGAGGTTTTAGCCTGATTGTTTAATGGATAAGATAAAGGGTCAAAGAATTAAAAGACAGAGAAGTAGAAAAATGATGGTTGGTATTCAGGTGCCTTTGTAATTTGTGTGTGTTATATCATACTTACGTATTTTTTATTTTTATTTTTTGAGAGAGTCCCCCTGTGTTGCCCAGGCTGGAGTGCAGTGGCGCCATCTCAGCTCACTGAAACCTCTGCCTCCAGGGTTGAAGCCATTCTCCTGCTTCAGCCTCCCTAGTAACTGTGATTACAGGCACGTGCCAATGCACCGGGCTAATTTTTGTATTTTTAGTACACACGGGGTTTCACCATGTTGGCCAGGCTGGTCTCAAGCTCCTACCCTCAAGGGATGCACCCGCCTTGGCATCCAAAAGTGTTGGGTTACAGGTGTGAGCCCCCATGCACAGTCTCACATATTATGTTATTATACTAGGTCCTTTCATTTACACCACCTCTCGTGTGTCCATTGCTCCTCTGCCAGGTATTGATTTAGATGTAGAAAAAAAGTACATCTCAGAAAGAAATTAATGAAACAAGGATTAAACTACTAGGAAAAATCAAACCCAGCAAGACCTCCCTGCAAATGATTCTACCTCACAAACACATCTTATATCCATCTTTCATTCATTTAGTGTGTAAATCAACTCTACATTTCACCAGTGGGATGTGAATTGCCTTTTCGACAATCTTCTAGATTCCAGTTACGCACCGGGGCCCCCCTTATTTTCACATCAGTCACTATTAATCACTTAGGGATTCCTAGTTAGCCCTGAGTTGAATCCAAGGGCGGCGAGTATAAAACACATACTCCTTGTTCCTTCTTAGTTTCCTGTGTGCCCAGTGTGCTCTTCTTTCTCTCCAGTGGTCTTGTAATTCTCGCCATCTCATTCCCAGCATTTTGGGCAGAGCCTCTTCCTTGAACATAAGAATGTTTCCACCTTTTTGCCTTCACGGCTGAGGGCTCAGTGTGGAAAATCTTTCTGCCAATCTTCCAAGGGTTGAATCCATTTTTTTCATTAAGGTCACAAATATTATCTGATCAGTGAGACCTTCTCTGTCACCTGAAATTATACACTCAGCATTATCTATTATTTATTTTAAATCCTGACTGGGCACAGTGGCTCACGCCTATAATCCTTGCACTTAGGGAGGCCAAGGCGGTCAGATTACTCGAGATTGGGAGTTTGAGACAGACAAACTGCACAACACGGTGAAACCTCATCTCTACTAAAAAATATACCAAAAAAATTAGCCGAGTGTGGTGGTGCGCGGCTGTAATCCCAGCTACTCGGTAGGCTGAGGCAGAAGAATTGCATGAACCCAGGAGGCAGAGGTTGCAGTGAGTTGAGATTGTGTCACTGCACTCCAGCCTGTGGGACAGAGTGAGACTCTACCTCAAAACAAAACACAAACCAAAAAAACAGATTTGGTGCACAGATGCTTCCCAATGGATCATTCATTTGTGGATCCACTTGTGCATTCATTTTCTGCCCTCGTTTTTAACCATCTGCAATATCAGTGTCCCAAGAGCAGAGGCCAAATGCACCCTGTTTACCATTTGTGGAAGGCAGGAGAATGCTGCCCCACCCCAAAATGTCCCTGTCCTAGCCTCCATGGCTTGTGACTATGTCATTTTACATGAAAGGAGGAATGAAGATTGCAGATGGAATTACGGTTGCTAATCAGCTGAACTGAAAAGGAGGGTATCCTAGATGATTTTAGGGAGATTATGATGGATTATCTTGATGACCCCAATAGAATCCCAAAGTCCCTAAAGATGAGGAAGAAGGCAGAGTAGCATTCAGAGAAAGAGGTGTGGGTGAAGAAGAAGAGTCTGAATGATGCCATGTGAGACGTGACCAGCCTTTGTGGGCTTTGAGGAAGGAGGAAGGGGACCAGGGGCCAAAGAACGTGGGAGCCTCTAGGAGTTGGGAAATGTAAGGAGCAGATTCTTACTTGGAACCTTAAAAAGAAGCTCAGCCTTGTTGTCCCTTTGATATCAGCCCAGTGAGATGCATTTCATACTTCTGAGCTACAGCACTGTGAGATAATTAAGAAAAACATGCTTTCATCCACAAAGCTTGTGGCAATTTGTTATGGCAACAATAGGAAAAGATTCCACACTGCACAGCCAGAGCATGGGGCATTGGCTGAACAAGTGAGTGTCATGTGCATAAATGAACTAAATTCTCTGTTACTACAAGTTTCTTGCTCTGCTGAGTCAACCAGGGTTGCGTCATGAGAGACAGGAGCTCATTCCTTGGCAAGTAGAACTTTTCTAAAAACATCCCACCCTCATCAGATGTTCTTTTCACTTCCCTTTCTCAAGCCCCAGGCATTTATCCTGTAGTTAGGAATGCAGGCAGAAAAAATACTGCATTTTTTTTTTTTTTTTTCTGAGAAGGGTGTCAGATTTGCACTCATCCTTCTGGCTTGGAGGTCTCAGGTGCAGAAAATTAGAGATTAAGAGACTTCACTGAGCCTTGTGTTGGCCCCAGATCCCTTGTGCTGTTGGAGTGTCTAGAGTTCAGAGACAGCAGAAGACAGGCCCACAATCCCAGAAGGAGCTGAGCTAATGCTTGAATCCAAGGCTTCCACCTCTCCAGGTTTCCAAAAGCAGAGACAAGAGGGGTTCTTTACTCACCAATGTTGGAGCTTGGTTCTGTGGGTGAAGACCAAGTACTTGAAGAGTTTCCTAGAACACAGGACAAGAGAGAGGTGTGGAAATGAAGATGCCTGTCTTCTACTCAATGGAAACCTTTAAGGTTGGTTCATGCCCAAACATTCTGTTATCTGATGTTGGGCCCTGGAAGTCCTGGTGTACCCTTCTCCATAATCATTGTATGTGATGCTCACTGTCTTGAGACTTCAAGGTATGAGGAGAAAACAGGAGCATCACACTACCTGACTTAAAAATATGTTACAGAGCTGTAGTAAGCAAAACAGCATGACATTGGTGTAAAGAAAGACCCATAGAACAATGGAGCAAAATGAAGAACACAGATGTAATCCACCCATTTATATCCAATGGAGTTTGACAAAGGCTCTAAAGGTCTAAAATCAGGAAGGGACTGTCATTTCAAAAAATGGTGCAGGGAAAACTGTACATCTACATGCAGAGGGATGAAACTGCACCTCTAACTCTCACCATACACAAAAATCAAATGAAAATGAATTAAAGACTTAAGGCCTAAACCCATCAAACGTTTAAAAGGAAACATTGGGGAAATGCTCCAGGACATTTGTCTGAGGAAAGACATTTTGTTTAAAATCTCAAAAACACAAACAATCAAAACAAAAATAGACGATTGGGATTACACCAAACTAAGCAGCTTCTGCACCACAAAGGAAGCAACAAACAAAGTGAAGAGACAACCCACAGAATATTTGCAAAGTATGCACTTGGAGGGGATTAACAACTAGAATATATAAGAAGCTCAAACACCTCAATAAAACAAATAATTTAATGATAAAATTAATAAAAGATCTGAACAGACATTTCTCAATGAACAAAACATGCAAACGGACATTGTATATATGAAAAAATGCTCAGTATCAACTAATCAGAGAAATGCAAACTGAATTCACAGTGAGCTATCATCTCACCCCATTACAATGGCTTTTTATCGGAAAGACAGACAAAACAAATGCTGGTAAGGTGGTAGAGAAAGGAGAGCAGCAAGAATGTTTTCATCCAAGAAGCTTCTGGAAATTTGTTATGGCAACAATGGGAAAAGATTCCACACTGCACAGCCAGAGCATGCGGTATTGGCTGAACGAGTGAGTGAATGGAAGTGTCGTGTGCATAAATGAACTAAATTCTCTCTGACTGCAAGTCTCTTGCTCTGCTGTGTCAACCAGGGTTTCATCTGGTACACTGTTGATATAAATGTAAATTAGTACAACCATTACAGAGAAGAGTATGGAAGTTCCTCAAAAAATAAAATGAGGTTGGGCACGGTGGTTCATGCCTGTAATCCCAGCACATTGGGAGGCCGAAGTGGGTAGATCACTTGAGGTCAGGACTTGAAGAGCAGCCTGGCCATATAGAGAAACCCCGTCTCTACTAAAAATATTAGCCGAGTGTGGTGGTGGGAGCCAGAAATCTCAGCTACTCGGGAGGCTGAGGCTGGGAAATCTCTTGAATCCTAGAGGTGCAAGTTGCAGTGAGCCCAGATGGCGCCACGGCACTCCAGGCTGGGCAACAAGAATGAAACTCTGTCTAAAAAAAACCAAAAACCATAAAACAAAACGTAAAAAGTCAACTTACCCAGGATCTAGCAATTCCACGACTGGGTGTAAACCAAAAGGAAAGGACTTCAGTGTATTGAAGTGACATCTGCACTCCCATGATTGTTCTAGCACAGTTCACAGTAGCCAAGACGTGGAGACAACCTACCTGCCCCTCAGTGGATGAATGGATAGAGAGAATGTAGTACATACACACAGTGGAGACTACTCATCCATAGAGACAATAACATTCTGACATTTGTAGCCACATGGATGGAACTGGAGGTCATTACAAGTATTTCCATTTCTCACTCATATGCAGGAGCTAAAAGGTGGATCTCATGAAGGTAGAGAGTAGAATGGTGGCTACCAGAGGCCAGGAAGGGAAGGGTGGAGGGTAAAAAAAAAAAAAAAAGAATACTAATTAATTAATTTTGAGAGAGTGTCTCTCTCTGTCTCCCAGGCTCCAGTGCAGTGGCATGATCTTGGCTCACTGCAACCTCTGCCTCCTGCAACTAAGTGCATCTCCTGCCTAACCCTTCCAAGTAGCTGAGACTACAGGCATGTGCCACCACGCTCGGCTAATTATTATTATTATTATTATTATTTTGTATTTTTAGTACAGATGGATTTTCCCCACGTTGGCCAGGGTGGTCTTGAGTCCCTGATCTCAAATGATCCACCTGCCTTAGCCTCTCAAAGTGTTGGGATTACAACCGTGAGCCACTGTGCCCGGCCTATAAATGTATTTATGAACAGTAGACTTCACACTTAAAAATGGTAAAGGTGGTAAATTATATAGGTATATTTCACCTCAATAAATACTTTTCCAAATGAAAAGAAAAGGGTGTAGGGGTTGCTGGTGATGACATCTCTCTGTAGGTGAGAGGCTGGGATGGGCTTCTGGGAAATGAGTAAGGTTGAGGGGCTGAGGGAACCTCTGATCTCCCCAAACTGAGCCCAGTCTGCCCTCCTCTGGGTCTGTCCTGACAGCTTTCTCCATCTGCCTGGGTGCCGACAGCCCTGAACGCGGGCCTCCATGTGGGCCGTGAAGGAGGATTTGGAGGTGCTCTGTCTGCCATCCTGTGCCATGACCCCACCCTCACACCCAGGCTTTGTCTTCTCTCTGCATCTGTTCACGCTTCTCTCCATCATCAAAAGGAAGTTCCTCAGCTATGGCTCTAGGATTACAAGACGTGGAACAGGCATGGACTTTCCTCACCTGTGACAGAAACGGGCAGTGGGTCACTCGGGTCTGACCACTCGTAGGGTGCGGTACGGAAAGAACCGAAGCATCTGTAGTTCCCTCCATTGGTCGCAGGGCCCAGAGGGAAGTCGGCCTGGAATGTTCCACTGACCCTCGGCACTGCAGGGAGCCTAAGTCTATGGGCCTCCCCATCCCTGGATAGATGGTAAATGTCAAACGAGCTCTGGGAGCTGCAGGACAAGGTCACGTTCTCGCCTGCCTGAACCATGGGGCCTGGCTGGACTGAGAGACAAGGTTTCCCATATAGACCTGGAAGGAGAAGAGGCAGTTTCCTCAGGGAGGTTCTTCCTTGTCACAGCTCCCCTCACACCTGAGCTGAGAGCTCACTCCCCTGCTCTATGACCTAATGCTCTCTCTGCCTCTCACCCTCCACCCCATCTCTCTTCATGTCTGTTTCCTCCTTCCACCTTCTCTGTCTCTCTAGGTCTCTGACCTCACTTCCCCATCGCAAGCTATGTTTTCTTTTTTGTACCATTTTATTATTTCTGACCCTACTTGGATTGGTTGACTTGATCTTCCTCTTTCTTTAATTCTGAGTCTCTCATTTTCTGTCTTATTCATAACTTTCTGCATATTTCTATTATCTATTGATCGATCTATCAATTATCTATGTATGTATGTATCTATCATCTATCATCATCTGTGTATCTATGACCTCTCTCTCTGTTATCTATCATCTATCAATCAATGTATGTATGTATCTATCCATCTATCATCACGTGTCTATCCGTCTTTCTGTCTCACTATGTCTATTTATGTATCATCTATCTACTTATCTATCTATATCGTCTATCAGTCATTCATCATTTATCTATCACCTATCTCTCTGTTATCTATCATCTATCTCTTATCTTTCATCCATTTATATCTATCGCTCATCTGTCTTTCTCCATCTCCTTTTCTCTGCCTCTCAGTCTCTCTAGTTCTCTTTTGGCATCTCTGCAATCCATCCCCACATCTTTCTCTTTCCCTGTTTTTGTGCCTCTCCTTCAGGGCTCTGATTTTAGGGCATTTCTCTGCTCCCTTCCGTCATATGCTTACTGCTCTGCCCTCTTTTTCTATCTCTTTATATGTCTGTGAGTCTCTCAATTCCCTTCTTCTGGCTCATTCTGTGTGTGTGTTCATATCTTCGCTTTTTGGTTTCCCTGATTTCACTCCTTGTCTCTCTGTGGGCTTTTGTTCTCAGTAATCCTATCACGTGTGGTGTTATTTGAATATGAGCCTCAGAATCCACATACAGGGGTTGGTGTTCTGCTCCCTCACCTGGGGCCATGGTGTCCTGGGACGATGACAGCTCCACTGCATGGAAGGCAGAGGTTTAAGAATAAACATGGCATCTGTAGGTGCCACAAGCCTGGGGCCACAGGGCCCAACTCAGGCCAGATAGACGTGTCTCTTTGGGTTCTCCTGGTAGAGAACACTTTATGGAGGTAAAACAGAATGGAACCTTCTAACCTGTGCCTGGTCTCTGAACAAAGTCAGCATGGAAGGACATCTCTCTCTGGGACATGTCTGTCTCTCTGTGCGTCTTCTTTTACCTCTTTATCTCTTTTCCTAACACCCTGTATGGCCCCTGTGTCTGCCTTCTATGTTATGACGTGCAGTCTGTACCTGTGTCTCCTGTTTCTCTACCTCTGTTGGTACAGACCTCATGAAGTCACTTTCTCTCCATGAGAATCCCACACTCATCTTCCTCATGACCACCTGGGGCTTCCAGTCCTAGATCATTCACTCCCTGTCCCTGCAAGGTGAGAGGCAGGTCTGGATTCTCTCACCTATGATCACGATGTCCAGAGGGTCACTGGGAGCCGACCACTCATAGGGGGAGTAAGCGACAGAACCAAAACATCTGTAGGTCCCTGCAAGGGCAGGTATCATGGGACCCACGGAATAGTTGGCCTGGGAACCCCCATCATGGAGCTGTCCAACGAGGTGCAAGGGGTCCTTAGTGATCCCCTCTCTGTGCAGAAGGAAACGCTCAAACCTCATATCTGACCAACATTGCAGGACGACCGTCTCTCCTGATTTCACCAGGGGACCTGGGTGGGCCAGGAGGGAAGGTTTTCTGTAGACTCCTAAGAAGAGAGGTTGTGAGTTCAGATGGCGTCTCCCTTTCTCATCCCATTCATGGGAACTGGAATAAGTGAGGCTTCCCCTCCATGGTGTCTATCTCTCTCCTCCCTGTCTGTGTCTCCGTGTTCTTTTCTGTGCCCATAACCCCTGGTGCAGGTCCCTCCATCTGTCTCCCTCCCTCTTCCCTGTCTCTCTGTCTCTAGGACCCCTGATTCCCTTCCCACTGGGCTCAGTGTCATCTCTTAGGCTGTTGTATCTGTTTTCCACTAATCTCTTTGCTGGTGTTTATGTGGGGCTGGAAGAGGAACCATGACAGGCTGCACGTCCAGGCTCTCAGCAGCCTGACTCAATCTCTTTTGGACAAATTGGAATGGCTGGCGGGAGGTGTGAACTCATCAGTAAGGCAGGCATCAATGTCCCTGTTCCTGATGGGGGTTGGGATCCTCTCCTGCCATGTCTGTGCCTTTTCCATGGTCCCAGCTGCCATAGGGTGGCCCCTGGTGCTGGTTCCAGGAGAATCAACCCCTCCCTGTGTGGATCGAGCCTGGTGGTAGCATCAGTATTCCGCCTGTGCTGAAATCAGTGTAGCCAACCTTCTCCTTGTTTGGTTTCTTAACTTGTCCTTGACTTGAGTTCCTGTGTTGGTTTCCTGTTGCTGCTGTAGAAAATTATCACAAACACGGTGGCAGGAGAGAATACAATAACCCCTTCCACTAAAGGAGAACAGAAATCTGACCCAGTTCTCTCTGGGCTAAAATCAAGGAATCTGCAGGGCTGTGCTTCCACTGGAGACTCAGGGAGAATCAGTTCCCTTGAATTCTCTAGCCCTTAGAGGCCACCTGCCTTCATGGCTCGTGGCCTTCCTTCACCTTCAAAGCCTGTAGTGAGTCTCCCTCCCACTGTGCTGCTCTAATCCCCACTCTCCTCATCCTCCTCCTCTCATGTGGTCCCTTGTGATTCCACTGAGCCCAGCGGGACAGTCCAGGCCGTCTCCCCATCTCAAGGTCAACTCATCAACAACCTGAGCTCCATCTTCCCCTTCAGTCCTCTGCCCTATAACATAAATAGTCATAGGGTCCACGGATTACCATGTAGCCATAACTAGGGACAATTATTCTTCCCATCACAGTACCTATTTCTCTGTACTGAATCCCCCTTTACCCCAAATACAGTCAGGTCCTGGGTGATGGGACCCTGGTGGATACCCCCAGCAGAAGCTCTGGGATTCAGGAGATGGGACAAGGAGAAGCCCAGACAGGAGCCCTCTGACCTGTGACCGTGATCACCAGGGGGTTGCTGGGAGCCGACCACTCAGTGGGGGAGTTCAGGTGTGAACCCTGACATCTGTAGGTCCCTGCGTGTGCTGGGGTCACAGGGCCCAGGAGGATGTCCTTCCAGAATCTTCTGTTGTAGAGCTCAGGGGCAGGCACCCCATCTTCCTTGTACAGACTGAAGATGGTAAACCCAAGATGAGAGTGACACTGAAGACTCACGTGTTCTCCTTGAGGCACCACAGCACTGGGCCAGGCAGAGAGGAAGGGCTTGTCCTGACCATCTGGGGGAGAAGGAGTCACCGCCTTTAGAGAGGAGGATGTGGAGCAGCCCCTCCCTCCCTGTGCTCAGAAGATTCTCCCCACTTTCCACATTTCTAAGGCTCCTACCACACCTGGGTGCCCAGGGCTACAGGAAGAACCCATCCCACATAGACATGGCATCTCCCTATAAGAAAAGTGTCAGCTGAGAACTTTGAGCAAGTGCTAAATAAGCCACTCTTACTAGATTTTAATACTACAAGATTACTCACATAAAACAACACAAAGTAGACACAGGATGGAGGGCATGACCTTTGTGAATGGAATATCAGCTAATGCACGAACCATAGTAAACAACTGAGCCCTCATTAGAAGATCTGAAATGTCAGGGTCATGACTGTGGTTCCCCACCCCACTTCTGGTAGAATGACAGCGGCAACACTGCAGCCCCGACCATCATGGAAACGCTGGAGGGTGTGAGTTACGCTCTTGTCCTCAGAGGCCTGCTGTTCTTGCACTGCTTCCCTCCCTTCCTCTGCCGGTGACACCACTTCTTCCCCGCACACCGCTGCTTTGAGCACCCCAGTCTCCCCCAGGGTCCCCACAGACTCAGCCAAGGGAAAGAAAGAACAGGGAGGGCTAGGACAGAACTGTGGGCCAAACTTCCCATGGCTTCCTTTTCCTAGTTCATAAGAGATTCCCACATGGCTTCCCATCGTCATCCCATCAGTCAACCCCTTGTGCTGCCTGCCTCGTGTTTCAAGAAAATCATCTTATGTGGGAAGATGACAACCTAAAGTTTGGGGAAGGACTCACCCACATGTGGACAGGCCCTCTGCAGCAAGAAGAACCCTAGAAAGAAAGACCATGATGGATGATCCATCTGTACATCACCTCCAGGCCCATATCTCCACTCCAGACCCATATCTACAGTTCCAGGCCCATATCTATACTCTAGGCCCATATCTCCACCTCCAGGCCCATATCTACAGTTCCAGGCCCATATCTCCACTCCAGGCCCATATCTACAGTTCCAGGCCCATATCTCCACCTCCAGGCCCGTATCTCCATTCCAGGTACATATTTGCACTCCAAGACAATATCTCCACTCCAGGCCCATATCTCTATCTCCAGGCCCATATCTCCATTCCAGGCCCATATCTAAAGCTCCAGGCCCATGTCTCCACTCCAGGCTCATATCTCCACCCCAGGCCCATATCTCCACTCCAGGCCTATATCTCCACCTCAGGCCCTTACCTTTACCTCCAGGCCCAGATATCCACCCCAGTGCTCCCTCCCTCGATTCCCTTCCGGGACTCACCAACACACGCCATGCTGATGACCATGAGCGACATGGTGCTGCCGGTGCAGACAGGCGGCCGCGCCCCAGCTCAGCTCAGCAGCACACAGGATGTTGTGAGGGGCTCATGCAGTTGACATGCTGACCACATCATGAGAGGATGACGTACACAGGCTCTTTCTGCCTTGCACGAGGCCCAGTGGGTGTTTGCTCAAGAGTGGAACATGGCTTCCTGGAAATTGTTCCGACTAGAATTGACACCTTGCATCCTTCACTATTACCAACTCAAAACACGTCTCAGATCCAATCTCTCACACAGGAGAGGATTGAATTTTGTGCTGACATGAAAGACTTTTGACGTATTTTTGTTGTTTTCTTCTGAGATTCAGACTCTTCTCCATGTGCTATTTTTTGCCCATTCAATATGATGTTGGCTGTGGATTTGTCATAGATGGCTCTTAATATTCACTTGGAAACAAGTTGTTAAATTTCCATGTTTTTCTGTCGTTTTGAGAGATGATCTTGGTATTTTTTCCCATTTTTATTGTGTGCCTTGTTATGATTTCGATTCTTTGAATTTATTGAGACTTGCTTTGTGGCCAATCTTAGTATATGATATTTTTTGTGTGTGTGCAGATAAGAAGAATCTATATTCTGCAGTTGTTGGGTGGAATACTCTGTAGATATCTCTTAGGTTCAGTTGGTCAAGTGTTGTCTTTAAGACCAGAATTTCTTTGTTAGTTTTCTGTTTTAGTGATCCATCTGATGTTGTCCGTGGGATGTTGAAGTCCCTTACTATTATTACGTGGCTAACTCTTTTCACAGGTGAAGAATAACTTGTTTTTTGAATCTGCGTGCTCCAAAGTTGGGCGCATATATATTTAGAATAGTTAAGTCTTCTTGTCAAATTGAACCCTGTATCATTTTGTAATGCCCTTCTTTGTCCTTCTTGATTGCTGTTGATTTAAAGTGTGTTTCATGTGATATGAGGATAGGAATGCTTTCTTTTTTTTGGTTTCCTGGTTGCCTAGTAAATATTTCTCCATCCTTCTACTTTGAGCTGCCTGTGGGTGTCATTTCATGTGAGATGGGTCTCAAAGACAGCAGGCAGTTGGCTCTTGGCTTTTTATCCATGTTGCCGCTTTATGCCTTTTACGTGGGGAATTTAGGCCATTTACATTCAGGGTTCATATTGATATATGAAATTTTGGTCCTGTCGTTATGTTGTTGGCTGTTTTATAGACTTGATAGTGTAATTGCTTTGTATTATTTGTGAGCTATGGCTTGAGTGTGTTTTTGTGGTAGCAGGTTTTTATCTTCTGTTTCCTATTGAGCACTCCACTAAGGATCTCTTGTAATGGTGGTCATGGTGGTCTAGTGCTAACAAATTCTTTTAGTGCTTCCTTGTCAGAGAAAGATTTTATTTCTCTTTTGCTTATGAAGCTTAGTTTGATGGGATATGACATTCTTGGTTGGATTTTCTTTTCTTTAATAATGCTGAAAACAGGTTCCTAATCTCTTTGGCTTATACGATTTCCACTGAGAGTTCTGCGGTTAGCCTGATTGGGTTCCTTCTGTAGGTGACCTGCTCCTTCTCTTTAGCTGCCTTTAAGATTTTTTTCTGTTGTGTTGACCTTGGAGGATCTGATAACTGTGTGTATTGGGGATGGTCACCTTGTGTTATATCCCACATGGGTTTTCTGCATTTTTTTTTAATTTATATGTCTTCCTCTCTAGCAAGATTGGGAAAATTTTCATGGACTATGTCCTCAAATATGTTTTCTACGTTGCTTACTCTTTCTCCTTCTCTTTCAATAATTCCAATGAGCCATATATTTTGTGTCTCTACTTAATCCTATATTTCTCAGAGATTTCATTTAGTTTTTAAAAATCTTTTTAAAAATTTTTGTCTGACTGAGTTGATTCAAAGATCTATTTTTCAAGCTCTGAGATTATTTCCCTAGCTTGATCTCTTCTGCTTTTGTTGCTTCTGATTGTATTGTGAAATTCTTGAAGTGAAGTCTTCAGTTTCAGGAGTTCAGTTTGGTTCTTTCTTAAAATGGATATTTCATGTGTCAGCTCCTAGATCATTTTGCTGGATTCTTTGGATTGGTCTTCAACTTTCTCCAAGATCTTGGTGGGTTTCCTTAGTATCCAGATTCTGAATTCTGTGTCTGTCATTTCAGTCATCTTAGTATGGCTAACAATTGGATTTCTGGGGAACTATCGAGTTGCCAGAGTTCTTGTATTGATTCTTTTTCATGTGTGAGGGCTGGTGTTCCTTTAACTATGATGTAAGTTAAGCCTAGTCAGTTGTCTTTATTTCTGGGTATTTTGAGAGGACTGGGACTCATATAGAACCTTTATTTGTGGCTGAGTCTTTGCCTTAGTTTTCACAGGTGCTGTATACTGGCACAATATTTTGGTGTTGTGTTTTGGTCTGTGATTCAGTGGGTGGTGCTTAAGAATGTTGGCTGGCAGATAGTTTGTTACTCAGCCACATGGCTCCTTCGTATTTTTGTGCAGCTCTCCCCAGCACTCTGTGGTGAGGGCGGAGAAATGACCCCCTCACCTAGTCCACTCCTGAGCTTTTGAGGAGCCCCCTTTAATGACCAGCTTCACGACTGTATTTCCTTTGTTAGGTGTTCTAGTCAAAGGTGTGGATGTGATGTCAAAATCACCTCACACCACAAGACGCCCAGCTAATTTTTGAATTTTTAGTAGAGACAGAGTTTTGCCATATTGGACAGGCTGGTCTCAAACTCCTGACCTCAAGTGATCCACCTGCCTCGGCCTCCCAAAGTGCTGGGATTACAGGTGTGAGCCCCTGCACCCTGCCAGGGGTTCTTGAGTTGCCACATCAATCATCCACTTGGACTGGTGATTGGTAATTCTGATATTGGTCCTTTTCCTAGGGTGGAATTCTCATCCTCCTTCCACGGCCCTGACTTCAAATTGTAGGGAGCAATGAGTTGGAGTATTGCTCTGATTTTGAAGGGGAAGCTGATTTGTATTTAAATATTCATTTTTTAATTTTCTTAAATTTTTTTGACCAATTAAAAAATTTGTTTTCAGCTAAGTTTATATGAGGAACTAACTCATATAAAACTCAGAGATGGTCTTCTCCTGATATATCCATTTTATATTTTTATGATTGCCTTTTAAATTATATTGAATGGTTGTAATTCCAGGGACATGTCTTTCAGAACAGTATTTATTCTTATCTACGTGTTTTGGAGAGTGCACTAAGGGACATTGAAGTTTATTTCCTGAAAAGAGTTTAATTTTAAAATGTATTTTATTTAATAACTCAATGATTTGGAATGTCTAGGTATTTCAGAGATGGTTTTAGACAATTGGTTTTCTTGTGATATGTGACCACTTCATCTAAGCTGAATAATGTCTTCATAATGTCCACTTAGAATCTTTTGAATTCTGTAGGATCTGTACTAATGTCATTGTTTCCTTTCTGATATTGGTAACTTTCCTGGGGTAGGATTCTTATCTCCCCCTGAGGTTCTGCCTCTAAAATTCAGGGAACAATGAGTTGGATTAGTACTCTGATTTCAAAGGGAAAGCTGATCATCTACCATTTTTTTGTTTATGTAAATGAACACATTAACATCCCTTGCCTGAACCTTAGTTTCCTTGTTTGGAGCATTTTGCTATAAATCTCACTTCTCAGAGTGATTGTGGGGCTTGATGTGGCTGGGGTATGGGATGAGCTCAAATATAATTTATTTCCAGATCAGGTTAAGGCATGAAGGGGTTGGGACTTGTTAGAATCCTGTTGTTGGACTCCACAGTAAGGGTAGACATTTGAGGCACTCAATCGAAAACCTCAGTTGTTCCTAGCACTGAGAAATTTAATAGAAAGTTTCTAAAACATTATTCATGGTCTTATGCACGAAAAGTAAAGTGATAGCACTGGAAGTAGACAGGGAATCATAAGAAAAAAGAGCAAAGCTCAGTGGTCACCAGTGCCTGGGACCATCAAGGGGTTATTAAGGAGGAAGTTTCCAGTTCTGTGTGGAACAGAAGAGGCTCCCTAGGGTCCTCACAGACAGGAAGTGAGTCAAGACTCTGGGCGAGGCTGGAAACTCTGACTCTCCTTGAGATTTTTTTTTTTTTTTTTGAGACAGAATCTTACTCTGTCCCCCAGGCTAGAGTGCAATGGCATGATCTCGGCTCACTGCAACCTCTGCCTTCTGGGTTCAAGCGATTTTCCTGCCTCAGCCTCCCAAGTAGCTGGGACTAAAGGTGCCTGCCACCATGCTCAGCTAATTTTTATAATTTTATTAGAGATGGGGGTTTCACCATGTTTGCCAGGCTAGTCTTGAACTCTTGACCTCAGGTGATCCACCTGCCTTAGCCTCCCAGAGTGCTGGGATTGCAGGCGTGAGCCACCACGCCTTCTCTGAGATTTTACAGATGGGCTCTGGGACATCTCTGCTCACTGACCGGAGCCCCTGGTCAGCACTGAGCCACCTCCTCCGTGTGTGTGAAACAGTTTCATTGCAGTATTGTATGAGGCTCCCGTTGGATCCGTCATTGCGCCCACACAACTGTGGGCAGACACTGAGTTTGGGAAACTGGATGCCATGTGGAAGTAGATGATGGGTTAGACCTCCCTTTTCAGCTCTCAACTCCAAAGAAAGCCATGAGAGAAACCTTAGGTGGAAGACAAAGTGTGAGAGGTGAGCAGTCCAACAAAAAGGACCAAGGAAGTATATTTTTTATTTTTATTTTTTGAGATGGAGTCTCGTTCTGTTGCCCAGGCTGGAGTGTAGTGGCCCGATCTCGGGTCACTGCAGCCTCCGCCTCCCGGGTTCAAGCGATTCTCCTGCCATAGCTTCCCAAATAACTAGGATTACAGGCATGCCCCACCATGCCCAGCTAATTTTTAAAATTTTTAGTAGAGATGGGGTTTCACCGTATTGACCAGGTTGGCCTAGAACTCCTGACCTCAGGTGATCTGCCCACCTCAGCCTCCCAAAGTGCTGGTATTACAGGCATGAGCCACTGTGCCTGGCCTCAGACTCATGTTTCAAAGTCCCAAATGCACATTTGCCCACCTATTCCAGTTATTTTATGCTCAGAACTGAAGAGATGGAGAATCAATAGTTCACTTCAGGGAATGTGGCAGTTGGAAACAAAGAAAAATGCATTACATGACAGTGGACCAGAGCACGCGATCACAGGGGTGTGGACGCAAACCCACCACGGGGGATGTGCCCTCACGTCACAGGGAGCAAAAGGAAGGGAGGGGCAGTCCCGGAGGGTCCACAACAGCAGGATGGAAAGCACCGCCATTTAATGGAGGTTTAATAGAGGAAGCATTCTCTACAGGCACCCGGACATCTTCCTACACCTGACCCATGCCCCCCCTTCTCGACCTTCTCAGTAGACAGTTTCCCGAATGATGGTCCAGACTTTCTTTCAGAACCTTTTGGGACCATCAGATTCATTGCCAAGGCTCTAGCACTCTGACGGGTGCATTGTTCTCTCTTGTGTTTACCTCCTGGCTGCATCTTGGGAGTTTCTCTGGCTGTGCCAATCCTAAAACAGCAGAATCCCAAGGACCACCAGGACCAAGCCAGCCACAGCCATGCGGATGAGATTCTCCACGGTGTAATCCTGGGGGTGTGAGGCTGGGGATGGTGGACGAAGAGGTCACAGAGGTCAGGGTAGATCATCATGACCCAGGACCCCTGGATGTCCACCCAGGATGCCCACCTCCCCTTCACAGGACCTGACCCTCTGTGCCAGCCCCATAACGGAGAGCATCTCCTCACTCACTAGTCTTGGAGTCTGTCTGGTTTTGTGACGGGCTGAGGGTCTCAGCTCCTCCTGAGAATCAATCAAAAAAAGGGGGGAGGTGTGTGAGGAGTTGAAGAGACTTAAGCCAACATGTCCCTCAGTTTCTGCATTCCTTTGTGTCTACATTTCTCCTAACTGTTCTGTAGTTATGTGATAGAACCTTTTCCTGATGCGGCAGAGGTGCGTACATACATATATGCACAGGAATAAATATGTGTATATACATAATTGAGATATAATAGTGTGTGTATGTAAATATATAATGCTTATGTATTATAAGATATATAATAGTGTGTGTATATACAAATATGTAATACATAATATATATTATGAGATATATAATATGTGTGCATGTAAATATATAATGCATAATATGTATTATAAGATATATAAGCGTGTGTATAAATAAATATATAATACATAATATGTAATAATATATATAATAGTGTGTGTATACATATAAATATGTAATAAGATATATAATAGTGTATATATCTAAATATATAATATATAAAATATAATAAGACATCTAATAGTGTGTGTATATCTAAATATATAATGCATTATATATTATAAGATATACAATAGTGTGTGTATATATAAATATATAACACATAATATATGATATATAATAGTGTGTATATAAATACATGATGTATAATATATAATAAGATGTATGATAGTATGTGTATCTCTAAATATATAATACATAATATATAATACAATATATAATAGTGTGTTAATATATGTTATATATAAATTATATATGTTATATATAAATATATAATATATGTATATATTATATATAATATAGAAATATCATATATTATATTTATTTAGTATAATATATCAAATATATTTATTAATATATAAATATATTTATTATATTTATTATATTAATGATATAGTTATTTAATATAATATATAAAATATATCAAATATTTATATTTTATATATTATATATTAATATGTAATATAAATATATAATATAAATATATACTTTATGTATTTATATATTGTATATAAATATATTTATATATTTATATATTATATATAACATATACATTAATATATAAATATATAATACATAATATATAAGATATATAATAGTATATATATGTAATGCATAATATATATTATAAGATATATAATACTGTGTGGGTGTATATACATAAATATATAATACATAATATATAATAAGATATACAATTGTGTATACATAAATATATAATACACAGTGTATATTAAGATAGATAATAGTGTGTGGGTATATATAAATATATAATACATAATATATATTATAGGATAGATAATAGTGTGTAGGTATATATAAATATATAATACATAGTATACATTATAAGATAGATAATGGTGTGTGGGGTATGTACAAACACATACATACATATTTGAAGTGAGAAGAGTATTATAAAATTTAGAAACAAGTTTGTCCTCCATTTTCTTGTGGTTAATGTAATTATTATCAATAAATCAGAAGAGATCATTTGGGAAAGGATTGAAAGGGAGTGTGTCGGGGTAAGTTAATGGGAACTAAAATTAGCATACTCAAACCAAGAACTTTCTCATCTATACTTAACTAATTTTAGAAGATAGAAAGGAATCAAAGCCTTTCAAATTATTCAAGTAGTAAAACAATCCTTAAAATTCACAATGTCCACAGTTGTTATGAATATAACTTCAAAAGCCTGCTGATATAAATGTATACAGTTTAATTTTAAATGTGTTGGATAAACAGACATTATTCATAAGAAGTTATTCTCCATCATGAATGCACATATTTAATTTAATCCCAAAGAAAATCAGAGCACAGTCACTTTACATCATAACGCTACCTACCAAATTAAATGTGTAAATTATAAATGCCAGCATTGCTTTGAAATCTTCAGAAACAGAAAGAGAAACAATAGATACGTGGACATAAAAAATAAAGGACAGAAAGGAATTGCGCACGAGGTTTGCTGTTGAATATTTGCCTGCATTGCTGCAGTGAGCAGGTGCACAATCTCCCCTTAGTCTCAGGTATGCACTGAGTGTTACGGGGCCGCCGGGGGAGCCCAGGTGGGGAGTGGGTGGAGCCTCCATCTTCTATCCTCAGTCTAAGTATGATTCCTCCGAGGTTCCTCCATATCTCATTTCAGTCCTCCCTGGCCTTTAGCCCCATCTGAGGTCTCTGGGGTGGGAGCCCAGGCTTAGGAGGTCCCTGACAATTTCCACCCTCTTATGGGCTGGGCCCTCTCCCTTTACTCCCCTCTTTCCTTAGCGTCCTGAGCTCTGCTGGGGGCAGGGCCTGAGCTGAGCCTTTGAGCTCAGAGAGGACAAGGTCAGGGCCCTCACCTGAGACCACGAGCTCCAGGGGGTCACTGGGGTGAGACAGCAGGTAGGGGAAGAATCTGTGTGAGCTGTAGCACCTGTAGGTCCCCGCATGGGCTGAGGTCACAGGACCCATGGGGAATTCAGCCTGGTGCTGGTGAGCTCGGTGCTCTGATCTCAGACGCAGCAGGTGATGGGCTGCTCCCTCCTTGGTCAGAAGGAAAGTGTCCATCGGGCTCCGTGACTGACACAGCAGGGTCACGTTCTTTCCTGAGGCTACTGTGGGGCCCGGCTGCACTGAGAGGAAGGGTCTGTCAGGGATCTGTCCTGGAGAGAAGAAGGATGGGTGAGGGGCTGCCCCACCTTGTTCTGAGCTGAGACTTCCCCAGGCCTCTCCCTGGGGCCCTCAGTCTCTCTGTCTCTGTTTTCTCTGAGTCTCCCCCTCCCCACCCATCCCCTGTCTCTCTGTGTCTTTCTCCCTTAGGACCCCCACCCCTCATCCCGGCCATCACCACCTGGGCTCCCCCAGCAGGGCCTGAGCAGAGCCTGGATCCCTGACTGAACCCGCTGGGCTCCTCACCTGAGATCAGGATGTCCAGGGGGTCACTGGGGGCCGACCACTCGGAGGAGAGGTTGTGTGCACCGTAGCATCTGTACTGGCCCGCGTGGGACACCCTCACAGGGCCCACGGTGAAGTTGGCCTGGGAGAGCCCAGCCTGGGGCTGCTGGCCAGAGCCCTGGAGGAGATCATGTCCCTGCTCCTTGTACAGAGCGAATCTGTTGTAGCCGACATCAGAGCCACACTGCAGGGTCAGGTTCTCTCCAGGGGCCACGACAGGACCCTGCGGGGTCAGGAGGGAGGGCTTCCTAGACACGCCTGGAGGAAAACAAGAGTTGGGACTAGGAGGACTGGTTCCTCCCATGCCCCTTCCTTCTCCCGTTCTGGCCCTGCGGGTCTCACTGTCTCTCACACTCAGTCTCTCTGGGCTCAGGAGTCCCAAACTTCCCTTGTTCCACCCTCCTACGTGGGACTCCCTGAGAGTGAGTTCTCGGGCAAGGAGCAGACGTCTGTACCTGAGACCAGGATCTCAATGGTGTCACTGGGTTCCGACCACACCCGGGTGATGTTCCTGTAATATCCATGGCATCTGAACATCCACCGGTGACTGGGGGCCACAGGGCCCACAGGGAACAGGGCCAGGAACAGCCCGTTGGAGAGTTCCTGTGAGTCCAGCATCCAGGAGAGCTTGTTTTCTCCTTCCTCAATCAAAATGAATCTTTGAAATCCCAGCCTTGAGCTACACTGGATGGTGACGTTCTCTCCTGAGGTCACCACAGGGCTTGGCAAGGCTGAGAGGGTGGGTTTCCTGTAGGCTCCTAGGAAAGAAGGAGGCACTGTCTTAAACGGGACTCACGCCTCCCACATCATCCCCCAGGGCTGAGTTATTAGAACGAAGATGCCCCTGAGAGCTGACCTCCTTCCTGACCCTGGGACCCCTGAGTGTCCTCTTACCTGTCACCACCAGTTCCAGCGGGTCACTGAGCTCTGACCAGCCTGCAGAGCTGAGATAGTGACAGCGGTATGCCCCTGCATAGTGCTCTCTCATGGATGGGATGAAGAAGTTGGTCTTGTTCCTGGGCCCTGGTGGGCTCTGTTGGTGCCAGGTCATCGGGCTTCCTTCCTTGGTGAGATGGCAACCCTGGGTATCCAGGGTCCCCTGGCACCAGAGGGTCACGGAGCTCCCCCAGCTGATCACAGAGCCTGGCTCAGCCCAGAGGCTGGGTTTGGGGAGGATCCCTGGAAGAAACCACAGGCTGGAGTCCACAGACCTCCCCCACCCCTCATTCCCAGCTCAGGCCATGGACCTTCTTGGTTTTCTCACCCTCCGTTCAGAAGGCCCTGAGATGAGAGTCCGGGTGCTGAGTGTGAGGTAGGGCGTGGGAGCTTAGCAGAGACTCACCTGCAGGTGCTCGGGTTTTCTGGCCCAGACTCAGCCATGGAGGAGAGTTTCCTGTGGGGGATTTGGAAGACAGAGGTGTGTCTTCCCTTCCTGCTGGAGCACCAGTAGCCACTGGACCCCTGAGGGTCTCCAGTGAACAAGTCTGCTGTGGGACCCCCCTCACCCCAGCCCAGTGCCCCTCCTGTCCCTCGTCTCTCCACCACTGACTGAGGCACAGAAGAACAGGGAGGATGGACACCATGATGCCTGCTCTTCGTGCTCCAGCTGTGGGACAGGAGACCACACGACCCACCAGGACAGACAGACGCGCGGATGTGGTTAAGTCAGAGCCTGCTGCCGCCTGTCTGGGTCCCCACAGCTGTCAACCCACAGGAAGTGGACACAGCCTCTTGCTGGGCCTGTCTCTGATTCCCCCCAGTGTGGGGGCTCAGGAGGACCCAGGCCCTCTGCACACATCTCAGCCCAAAGCTGAGGTGTTCCCTGATGGCCAGGGCTCCTCTGTCTGAAAACCTGCCCGCGGAGGGTAGACCTAACATCACGTCTAGGTCAGCTACCAACTGGGCGGGAGTCTAAACTGAAAACCCAGCCCTTACTTTCTCAGAGCCTCCACTCATGACATCGACTTTCCTTTTCCCCACCGATGCGGAGACAAACATTTCCCGACGAGACAGTCATCCTGATCTGAAGAGACCCACTTCCTGCTTTCAGTAAACACAGTCGATTTCATTAGGGGAGGCTCTGGGAAACTTAGGGGATGCAATTTAGCAGAAGATGAACATTCAGCAACTTGTTTCTCAATTAATTAATTTATTGCCAAAGAGAGAGAAGTGGAAATATGAGAATAGGGACCACAACTAGAATGTGGTTGAGGGAACGGTTTCTATCTTATTCCCTGGCAGAGAACTAAGGGATACGAACAAGAAAGCTGGCTGGGTGTGGTGGCTCACGCCTGTAATCCGAGCACTTTGGGAGGCCGAGGCAGGTGGATCACAAGGTCAGGAGTTCGAGACCAACCTGACCAACATGGTGAAACCCTGTCTTTACTAAAAATACAAAAATTAGCCGGGTGTGATGGCATGCATCCGTAATCCCAGCTACTCGGGAGGCTGAGGTGAGAGAATCACTCGAACCCAGGAGGCGGAGGTTGCAGTGAGCCAAGATCACGCCACTGCACTCCAGCCTGGTCAAGAGAGCCAGACTCTGTCGAAAAAAAAAAAAAGAACAAGAAAACCCAGTGAGAGGTGGTTGTGAGAACACTCTAAAGAGGAAAGATCACTCAGGACTGGGAGTGGTGACTCATGCCTGTACTCCCAGCACTTTGGGAGGCTGAGGCGGGTGGATTACCTGAGGGCCGAAGTTCGAGACCAGCCTGGCCAACATGGTGAAACCTCATCTCTACTAAAAATACAAAAATTAGCCAGGCGTGGTGGCATGCACCTGTAATCTCAGCTACTCAAGAGCCTGAGTCAGGAGAATCTCTTGAACCCAGGAGGCAGAGGTTGCAGTGAGCCGAGATTGCGCCACTGCACTCCAGCCTGGGCAACAGAGCAAGGCTCTGTCTCCAAAAATAAAAACTGAAAAGAAAAAAGGAGAAGGAGAAGAGGAAGGAGATGGAAAGGAAAGGAAACACGCCTGAGTTGGAACATTACATGTAACATGGAGTAGGCAGGGAATCCGATAGAGCACTGAAACTCTTACTGGGTGCAGTGGCTCACGTCTGTAATCCCAGCACTTTGGGTGGCCCAGGTGGGCAGATCACATCACATGAGGTCAGGAGTTTGAGACCAGTCTGGCCAAGATGACGAAATCCCGTCTTGACTCAAAATACAAACGCTACCTGGCTGTGGTGGCAGGCGCCTGTAATCCTGGCTACGTTGGAGGATGAGGCAGGAGAATCGCTTGAACCCGGGAGGCGGAGGTTGTAGTGAGTCAAGATTGCACCATTGCACTCTAGCCTGGCCAACAAGAGCAAAACTCCATCTCAAAATATAAAATAAAATAAAATAAAATAAAATAAAATAAAATAATAAATAAAAAGAGGACTGGACATCTCCTGTGGGTTGTCAGTGAATGGAACCAAGCAAACCACCACCCTTTCCCTTTTGTTCTACAAGGTGTCTTTCTTGGCCTTCAGGAAGTGAGTTCCATTGTCAGACCCCATGTTTGTTGCTGCTGGGTTCATCGAGTCTCCTCCCTTTCCACCTGTGGCTCCCCATGGGTTCCCAGGCCCCAGCCAGCATTGTGAATAGAGCCAGGAAGACCAGTCCTATCACACCCCTCCTGATGGAACTCCCACAGTGTCATCCTGGAGAACAGGGGCTGGGGGCTGGGATAGGATCAGAGACCTCTTCATGTGGGCCAGGCCCCTCCCTCCACAGGAGTTCTGACATGGAGCCCATCACCACCCGTTTCACCCTGACGATATTCTTCCTGCCCAGACACCCCCATTCTCCCTATATCATCATGGGCACCTCAGTGAAATCCACGGTTGAGGGTCTCTGTCACTTACTCTTCCCTCTTCTGGGAAACTTTCCTTGGATCCTTCCAGAGCCCTTCCTGAGTGTGCTGCAGGATCTCTGCCACACGGCACACTCTCAGGAGCCCTCATCCTCTCCCTCACCTACTGCGCCCACACAGCCAGGTGCAGGCTTCGTTTCTTCATCTTCCCTTCCCCACAGGCCCTGATGGAGAGTGGATTAGACTCGCTCCTGAGTAGGGGCTCAGGTCACTGACCCCTTCCTCCCTGTGGACGAGGCCTCCGTCCCAGAGCATTGGAGGCTGAAGGGTCTCACGGATTCCCACACTGACCACAGTCTCAGATGCGGATGGGGAACCTGGGGACTCAGGAGGGGCTGCCTAGCCCAAGGTTCCACAGCTGGAGGTGGCACAGCCTTCACTCACACGGGGGCCTTCCGTCTCCCCAGGGACTTCACACTGGAGGCTAAGAGCACCACTTTGCACACCACATTCAGGGGTGGATTCTGTGGGTGACTAACAAGTTCTCCTAGGGTTCCAAGGTGACAGGACAGCACATGGGTGAGGGAGAGCCTCCCTCGCCCCACCGAAGTAGGACTATTCTCTATGGAGGGTTGGTCCCCTGCCTTCCTCTACTCTGTCATCTCGCTAGTGACTGATAGGGGTCCTGGGGTGTCTTCCCTAGAATCCCATGAGGGACAATTCCTTTCCTGAGAGGGAAGGTATGGAGAGGACTAGCAGGTGCCTGGTGATGGAAAGTGCCCATAATCAAGAGACATTGCCTCCGCCCAGGATAATAAATATCCGAGTTTCCAAATGGGAAATCTCTCTGTGGTGAGAGCTCAGGAGGGGCTTCCGGAAGGGTGCCTAATTGCTCTGGCTAGGACTTCAGTAGAGGTTGATTAATAGTGGTGAAAGTGGGCACCCTTGTCTTGGTCCAGTCCTTAGAGGAAAGACTTTCAGCTTTTCCCCACTCAGGATAAATGTCAGCTGTTTGTTTGTCATATGTGACCTTTATTGTGTTGATGTACATTCCTTCCGTATCCAGTGTGTTCAAAGTTTTTATTATGAAGGGATGTCGAATCTTATCAAATGCTTTTTAATGCATTTGTGATGATCATGGGATTTTGGTCTTTCATTCAGTTGATATGATGCGTTACATGTACTGATTAGCATATATTTAATCATGGGTTCAGTTCTGCAAGGAACTGATGGACCACTTTCCACACCACTGGGTTGTGACTTAAAATGCCAGTGTGATGATTCCAAGCGGTGATATTTCAGGAGAAACTACACAGATAGCATCTAATAAGGAGGGAAGGGCTGGTAGGGTAGCATCTGATAAGGAGGTGAGAAACTACACAGATAGCATCTGATAAGGAGGGAAGGGCTAGTAGGGTAGCATCTGATAAGGAGGTGAGAAACTACACAGATAGCATCTGATAAGGAGATGAAGGCATCATGGTGCATTTATCTTTTCCTGGTGGAAATCTGATCTTCTCCCATTGAATTAGCTCCTAAACCAGGTGTGGAACTCTGAACGGAAGACATGAAGACCCAATAAAGTACACCAGGAAGTGTCGCAATGAGAAATGAAGAGGACTGTGTGACATGCCATGGACCAGAGCACGCAGGTGTGCGGAGGTGTGGACCCAAGACAGTTGTGTGGGATGTAGCCGCATGTCCAAGGGTGGGAAAAGAAGCGGATCCAACCAAGGAAAGTCAACATTAATGGAGAGGAAAGGTATCACATTTTAATGGTTCTCCATGGATCACCCCAGAAAATGTCCCTGCACTCAAACATTGGTTCCTTCCTCTAGAAATGACCAGCAGACAGTCCAGATAGCTTTGGCCCTAGATTTTCTTCCAGAATCTCCTGGGATCATCAGATCTGTTCCTGAGGCTTCACGACTCCGAAAGGTCCATTATCCTCTCTGTTGTTCACCTCCCGGCTGCATCTTGGGAAGCTTCTCCAGCTATGCCGAGCCTCAAATAACAGAATCCCGAGGACCACCAGGATCAAGCCAGCCACGCCCATGCGGATGAGATTCTCCACTGTGTAATCCTGGGGGTGCGAGGCTGGGGATGGTGGGCAAAGAAGTCACAGAGGTCAAGGTGGATCAGAATCAGCCTAGGAGCCCTGGATGTCCCCCCAGGTCACCCACCTCCCCTTCACAGGACCCAATCATCTGTGCCAGCCCCATAACTGAGAGCATCTCCTCACACATCAGTCTCAGAGTCAGACTCGTTTTGTGATGGGCTGAGTGTATCAGCAGCTCCTGAGAACCAAAACAGAGGGAAAGAGGCTTGAGCTGAGCCTTTGAGCTCAGAGAGGACAGGGTCAGGGCCCTCACCTGAGACCACGAGCTCCAGTGGGTCACTGGGGGGAGACAGCAGATGGGGGTTGGAGCTGCATGAGCCGTAGCACCTGTAGGTTGCCGCGTGGGCTGACGTCACAGGACTCATGGGGAATTCAGCCTGGTACACAGGAGCTTCGTGCTTTGATCTCAGATGCAGCGGGGGATACGCTGCCCCCTCCTTGGTCAGAAGGAAAGTGTCCATCCACTCTTGTGATTGACACAGCAGGGTCACCTTCTCTCCTGACACCACCGTGGGCCACAACTGCACCGAGAGGGAGGGTCTGCCAGGGATCTGTCCTGGAGAGAAGACGGATGGGTGAGGGGCTGCCCCACCTTGTTCTGAGCTGAGACCTCCCCAGGCCTCTCTCTGGGACCCTCAGTCTCTGTCTCTGTTTTCTCTGAGTGTCCCCCTCCCCGCACATCCACTGTCTCTATCTATCTCTCCTTCCCCTCCATCCCGGCCATCACCACCTGGGCTCCCCCAGCAGGGCCTGTGCAGAGCCTGGATCCCTGATTGAACCCACTGGGCTCCTCACCTGCTATCAGGATGTCCAGGGGGTCACTGGGGGCCGACCACTCGAAGGAGAGGTTGTGTGCACCGTAGCATCTGTACTGGCCCCCGTGGTAGCCCCTCACAGGGCCCAGGGTGAAATTGGCCTGGGAGAGCCCGGCCTGGGGCTGCTGAGCAGGGCGCTGGAGAAAGGTACGTTGCCCCGCCTTGTGCAGAGTGAATCTGTCATAGCCCACATCAGAGCGACACTGGAGGGTCAGATTCTCTCCAGGGGCCACGACAGGGCCCTGCAGCATCAGGAGGGAGGGCTTCCTAGACACGCCTGGCGGGAAAGAGGAGCCGGGACTCAGAGGGCTGGTTCCTCCCACGCTGGTTCCTCTCCCGTCCTGGCCCTGCAGGTCTCACTGTCTTTCACACTCTGAGTCTCTGACCCCAGGACCTCCTTCTCACCCGGGCTGTCTTGGAGTCATTTCTGAGGAGTGGGGTCTCCCTAGCCCTGGCCCCTGTGCCTGATCCTTCCTCCTCTCCCTGAGAGCCGGGACCTCACAGCAAACACACCGGTGCCTTCCGGAGTCCTCCCCTTCCAGGTGAGGGTGGCCAAGGCCTCCTCCTCCCACGTCAGAGCCTCCCCATGGGGTCTCCCTCACGCCTGCAGCCCGTCCATCCACACATCACTCTGGGTCCTTTCCAGATTCAGTCACCAGCCAGACTCCCCACAGCCTGTCAGCTGCCCCGAAAGTGGATTAGAGAAGGCCGTGGTCCCTCACCTGAGGCCAGAATCTCCAGGGGGTCACTGCGGTGGGACCACACCTGGGAGGTGTTGCTGTAGTATCCATAGCATCTGAACGTCCACCTGTGGCTGGGGGTCACGGGGCCCACAGGGAACAGGGCCTGGAACTGCCCACTGTGGAGCTGCTGTGAGTCCAGGGTCCGGGGGAGCCTGTGTTCTCCTTCCTCAATCAGAACAAAATGCTGATATCCCTTCGGTGAACCACATCGGAGGGTCACGTTCCCTCCTGAGGCCACCACAGGGCTGGGCAGGGCTGAGAGGGTGGGTTTGCTGTAGGCTCCCAGGAGAGAAGGAGGCACCGTGTTTAATGGGCTCCCACCTCCCGCAGCATCCCCAGGGCTGGGCTGTGAGAGGGAGACGCCCCTGAGAGCCGACCCCCTTCCTGAGGACAGAGTCTGGGGCTGGGACCCCTGAGTGTCCTCTCACCTGTCACCACCAGCTCCAGGGGATCGCTGTGCTCTGACCAGCCTTCAGGGCTGTGATAGCAACAGTGATATGTTCTTGCATGGTGCTCTGTCATGGATGGGATGGAGTATCTGGCCTTGTTCCTTGTCTCCAGTGGGTTCATTCTGTCCCAGGGATCTGTGCTTCCCTCTTTATCCAGACGGTACTCCTGGGCCTCCAGGGTCCCCCGACACCAGATGGTCACGGGGCTCCCCCGGATGATCACAGAGCCTGGCTCAGCCCAGAGGGCGGGTTTGGGGAGGGGCCCTGGAAGGAAATCAGAGCCTGGATCCCAGGACCTTCCCCACCCGTCAGATCATCCCAGCTCCCTGCCCAGATCTGCTGTCTCCATCCCCAGCTGTCCAGGGTGAGGAGGTGGGACCTGGGAGAGCTGGGGACAGACTCACCTGCCTGCACGTGGGTCCTGGGGCCCAGACTCAGCCCTGGAAGAGAGTTCCCTGTGAGAGATTTGCCCCCGAAGCCTGAGCAGGTCCTCCCCTACCTGGGAGCTGCCTAAAGCCCTGGGATCTCTTGATAGGCCAGGGCCTGTGGGATTTCCTCTCTCCTCTTCAAATCTCACCAAAGCAGAGCAAGGCTGTGAGGGTGGGGGTCATGGCGTCTCCTCTGTCTCCTTTCAGCTTTGTAAATGGATGAGACCTCGGTGCTGGCAGGACAGAGAGACACACAGGGTGTGGCCCCTCAGAGGCTGGGTCCTTCTTATCGGGGGGGTGTCTCATCCTCAGCCCACAGGAACAGAAACTGCCCTCCCCCGGAGCCTGGCTCTCATTTCCCCAGGGCTGAGGTGGGGCGGGCACCAGGCTCTCTGCAGACATTTCAGAGAGAAATGGGGTCTCCCTGTCCCTGGGTCACTGTCTGCCTGATTTATCTTTATCTCACTGAGGGCCGGGACACAGCAGCAAATAGACCCGGTGACTTCCTGAGTCAGCCCCTTTCAGGCGAGGGCGACCATGGGCTCCTCTTCCCTCTCAGAGCCTCCCCATGGGGTCTCCCTCCCTCCTTCAGCCCGTCCATTGGCTCAGCATCGCGGGGTCCTTACCATGGCAGTCGTCTCTCCAGCCCTGGAGATGCTTCAGGGAAGATGCAGGTCCATGCTGCAGGCAGACCCAGGTCAGCAGAGACGCACCTGACACCGGGTTGTGCAGCCCAGGCTGAGCTGTGAGTGGCAGTGAGAACACAGGAGAAACGCAGGGAATAAAGATAATAAAACGTATGTTTTTCTGTCCCTGGAGTGTGTGTTTTTTTTCTCCCAAACAGTCCCTTTCTTTTCCCTTCAAGAACAATCCCTTCCTTTCTACCAAACTTCCCTTCTCTCTTTTTTTTCCTGCCCTCCTTTCTTCCCTCCTTCCCTCCTTCCTTCCCTCCTTCCCTCCTTCCTTCCTTCCTTCCTTCCCTCCTTCCTCCTTTCCTTCCCTCTTTCCTTTCCTCCTTCCCTCCTTCCTTCCTTCCTTCCCTCCTTCCTTCCTTCCCTCCTTCCTTCCCTCTTTCCTCCTTCCCTCCTTCCCTCCTTCCTTCCTTCCCTCCTTCCTTCCCTCCTTCCCTCCTTCCTTCCTTCCCTCCTTCCTTCCCTCCTTCCCTCCTTCCTTCCCTCCTTCCTTCCCTCCTTCCCTCCTTCCTTCCTTCCTTCCTTCCCTCCTTCCCTCCTTCCTTCCTTCCCTCCTTCCTTCCCTCCTTCCCTCCTTCCTTCCCTCCTTCCCTCCTTCCTTCCTTCCTTCCTCCTTCCTTCCCTCCTTCCTTCCTTCCTTCCTTCCTTCCCTCCCTTCCCTCCTTCCTTCCCTCCTTCCCTCCTTCCTTCCTTCCCTCCTTCTTTCCCTCCTTCCCTCCTTCCTTCCTTCCTTCCCTCCTTCCCTCCTTCCTTCCTTCCCTCCTTCTTCCCTCTTCCCTCTTCCTTCCTCTCCCTCTTTCCTCTCCTCTTTCCTTCCTTCCCTCCTTCCTTCACTTCCACTATTAACACTTCTTCCTCTTCCTCTCTCCCTCCTCCCTCCCTCCCTCTTCCCTCCTTCTTTCCTTCCTTTCTTTTGCAGCAGCATGCCCCCACCCATCCCTGAGAACAAACTTCTAAGTCATTCCTGCCTCCTCAGTGCCCCTCACTTCCTGGGCCATCCTCTGTGCCTTAATCACGTTTGGGGTTGCAGACAGTCCACATTGGTTCCTTCCCTCCTTCCTTCCCTCCTTCCCTCCTTCCTTCCCTCCTTCCCTCCTTCCTTCCTTCCTTCCCTCCTTCCCTCCTTCCTTCCCTCCTTCCCTCCTTCCTTCCTTCCTTCCCTCCTTCTTTCCCTCCTTCCCTCCTTCCTTCCTTCCTTCCCTCCTTCCCTCCTTCCTTCCTTCCCTCCTTCCTTCCCTCCTTCCCTCCTTCCTTCCTCTCCTCTTTCCTCTCCTCTTTCCTTCCTTCCCTCCTTCCTTCCTTCCCTCCTTCTTTCCTTCTTCCTCTTCCTCTCTCCCTCCTCCCTCCCTCCCTCCTTCCCTCCTTCTTTCCTTCCTTTCTTTTTGCAGCAGCCTTCACCCCCACCCATCCCTGAGAACAAACTTCTAAGTCATTCCTGCCTCCTCAGTGCCCCTCACTTCCTGGGCCATCCTCTGTGCCTTAATCCACGTTTGAGGTTTTTGGAGCAATTACATTAGGTTTAAGCTCTGATTTTGGACGCTGGGTTGGGAGATTACTTTTATTTAGTTCCTGATTATCATCCCCTGCCTGTGTGACCTTGGGCAGTAATATCCCATCCTTGAGCCTCAGTTTCCTCGTTTGGAGCCTGTTGTCATGAACCCCACTCATCACAGTGGCCGTGGAGGGCAGCGGTGCCCAGGACAAGGGAGAGGCTCAGCCTCAGCCATGGTGAATTTCCAGACGAGTTAAGACAGGAGGGTTAGGACGGGAGAGGATCCTGATATTGGGCTCCACCGTGGAGCATTGATGCTGCCATCAAGAGCCCACATTGGCTTTGAACACCGAGAAACCTACATACGATGTTTCCGAATCATGTAGTCACGGTCTTACGTAGAAAAAGTTAAATAACAAATTCCTGAAATAGACAGGGTGCCATAAGACAGATCATAGACCAGAGCTGAGGGACCACTGATGCCTGGGACCACCCAGGGCTCATTAGCGGGGGAGATTTCCACCTCTGTGTGTCACAGAAGAGGAACCCCAGGTCCTCACAGGCACGAAGGAGTCAGGGCTCTGGGTGAGGCTGGAAACTGTGGTTCCTCCTCCCCTGTGTGCGTGGACAGGCACTGGAATATCTCTGCTCATTGACCTGGGTCCAGGGTCCACACTGGATCATCTCCCTTTTTTGTGTGAAACAGATTCACTGTAACATGGTCAGATATGGGCGTCTGTCCCACGTGTGAGTGTGAGGTTCACACTAGACCCTCCCGTGCTGGGCAAGACCCTAAGCAGATGACATATTTGGAGAAGTAGAGGTCATGCAGCAGGGACAGCCGGAACAATCCCCTCTTTTTCAGTCTGACTCCCAGGAGAGCACTAAGAACTACCTTGCATGGACAGTTAGGTGTGTAAGAAATGAACCATTCGACAAACACGGACAGCAAAGAGTAACCCCCGTAATGATGAGAAGCACCACCAACGGCAACCTATTGACTCATTAAGGTTTATTATGTATTTTCAGATAGCTAGAAAAGAGGATTTTGAATGTTTTCAACACAAAGAAACGATAAATGTTTGAAATGGCGGATATGTTAATTACCCTTATATAACCATTACATTATATACATGTGTTGCAATATCAACTCTATACCCTACAAATATATACGATTATTGTGTGTCAATTAAAAGTTATAATAAAAAGACACACTTCATCCCAGCACTCTGGGAGGCCAAGGCAAGCGGATCACCTGAGCCCAGGAGTTCTAGCTATTTGAAAATATACAATAAACTCAAAACCACGATGAGATACCATCTCATGCCAGTTAGAATGACGATCATTAAAAAGTCAGGAAACAACAGGTGCTGGAGAGGATGTGGAGAAATAGGAACACTTTTACACTGTTGGTGGGAGTCTAAATTAGTTCAACCATTGTGGAAGACAGTGTGGTGATTCCTCAAGGATCTGGAACTAGAAATACCATTTGACCCAGCCATCCCATTCCTGGGTATATACCCAAAGGATTATAAATCATGCTGCTATAAAGACACATGCACACGTATGTTTATTGCGGCCCTATTCACAATAGCAAAGACTTGGAATCAACCAAAATGTCCATCAATGACAGACTGGATTAGGAAAATGTGGCACATACACACCATGGAATACTATGCAGCCATAAAAAAGGAAAAGTTTATGTCCTTTGCAGGGACATGGATGAAGTTGGAAACCATAATTCTCAGCAAACTATCGCAAGGACAGGAAACCAAACACTGCATGTTCTCACTAATATGTGGGAGGTGAATCATGAGAACACTTGGACACAGGGTGGGGAACATCACACACTGGGGCCTGTCGGGGGTGAGGGGCTGGGTGAGAGAGAGTATTAGGAGAAATACCTAATGTAAATCACGAGTTGATAGGTGCAGCAAACCAACATGGCACGTGCATACCTATGTAACAAACCTGCACGTTCTACACATGTACCCTAGAACTTAAAGTCTAATAACAAATAAAATTGAAAAAAGAAAATATACAATAAGCTATTGTTAATTATAGTCACCTTACAGTGCTATAGGATACAAGAACTTATTTCCTCCATCTAGTTGTAACTCTGTATCCTTTAACCAGCCTTTCCCTCCCCACCTCCCCACCGTTCCCAGCCTCTAGTTACCACGACTCTGCTCTCTACTTCTGAGATCGACTGTTTTAACTCCCCCAGATGAGTAAGAACATGCTACCTTTGTCTTTCTATGCTTGGCTTGTCTCACTTAATAGAATGGTCCTCCAGGCTCATCCACGTTGCCACAAAGGACAGGATTTCATTCTTTTTAATGACTGGATAATATTCCATTGTGTAGATGTCCCACATTTTCCTTGTCCACTCCTCTGTACATGGACACTTAGGTTGTTTCCAAATCTTGGTTATTGTGAATAGTGCTGCAATAAACACGGGGGTGAAGCTATCCTTTCAGTATACTGACTTTCTTTCCTTTTGCTCTATACCCAGAACTGGGATGGCTGGGTCGTAGGGTGGTTCTCTTTTTAGTTTTATGAGGAACCTATGTACTGTTTCCTGTAATGACCACACTCCTTCTCGTTCCCTTCAACAGTGCACGAGAGTCCCCTTTTCTCCGCGTCCTAGCCACCACTGGTTATTTTTTGTCTTTTTGATAACGGCCATTCTAAGCGGTGATAAGGAAGTGCTGGGAAGGGAAGGGTGGAGTCCCTTTAAATCATACAGAAGGGGGAAGGGAAGTGCTGGTCAGAGGAGGGAGTGGTCCCTGACTAAGGCTCCACCCTCACAGACCTTGGGCATTTCCTGCCCAAATGTTGCATTGCCCAAGACCACCCTGGGCTGCCAAGGCCCCATCCTGTGCCTAGAAACCACCCCCCCGCTCCGAGACCCTAGCACGCAGACACACAGACGGCTGCACGTTGACAGGAGTACCTCGGTGGAGGAACACATGGGTGGCTGGACGTGGAGAGGAAGGCGCTGGCAGGCACCAGCACACCATCAGGCCACTGACCAGCAGAATGACAGGAGTTTGGCCAGGGCAGTGGGAGGGGAGCCTGGGCAGTGGGAGGGGAGCCTGGGCAGTGGGAGGGGAGCCTGGGCTGCTGGACAGCCTGACTC